TTGGTTTTGGGCTCAAATTAATATAGCTTCTCCACTTTCAGGGCACACAGCCTGGCTGTGGTCCTTGAACAGAACATTTTTACAAACCTGGAACAAAGCAGGCAGGTGAAATGGAATGCTTTTTGCTCTGGAGGATGTCTTTTATTCCAGCTTAACCATACCCTGCTCCTTCCAGCACTAAGGTCCAAAGAGTCTGTCTGTATTCCTCTGCTCTAGCTAATCCTATTTTCTATGAAAGTTCAGATATCATTGGTTGGCACCTAGGCTTTCTCATCAATAGAAGTATGCCCTCTTCCGACTTCTTCCATAGATACCTCTTAAAAACCAAACATTTGAAAACACATTGTTCCCTAAATGCTAATATATTCTACCAGTCTGTCTTCGGAAGCTAAGTGCACCCTACAGTAATGTCACAGGGACTTTAGAACTGGGATTCAGCTCTCCAAATCTTTGTACAGATGTTGGATCACATATGAAACTTTTACCTCATTTTTCAAAAATCTGTATTATGGAAATTTTCAAGCACATGCAAAAATAGAGAGAACAGTATAATAAATCCCCATGTCCCCAGCAGCTAGCCTCAACAAGTATCAATATTCTGCCCTTTTTTCCCCATTTATCCTTCTTCCCAACTTTATGCTTGTTTATTGTTTGTTGCAGCATCTGAAAGCAGACCTCATATGTCAAATCATTTCACCCATAAATGCTTGTTTGTTCCTGCAGATAAGCCCATTCTCCTTTGAACAAAACTGTGTTACCACTATCACATCTGACAAAGTTCATAATAATTCTTAACATTTAACTTAACATCTACTACCCAGTTCAAGTTCAATTTCCCCCACTGTTTCCACAATGTCTTGTTAAAGCTGCCTTGTTCAACTAAGAGCCCAAGTATGACCACATAGTATTTGGTGATCACTCTCTTAGGTGTCTTTTCATCCACAATAGATCACCCTCATTTTTGTTTTCAACTACCACCAGCATATACTTAGATGCTAATTGGCCAAGCAAACCTTACCAAGGGTAGTACCTCTTCAGGCTGCACACGCTGTAAGCAAATTCATAGACCCCGTAGGCACAAACTCACACGGCTCCACTTTCCAGTGCGATCCACCATGGGGACCAATATGCCAGGCCACCCCAAACACTTTCTGCTCTCAAGAGAAGGAATTTAGCAAGCTAATTCTCTAAAATTAAATCTTTTCTGTGCTGCAATGGCCTGAAGACTCGGAATGATTTTAAAAAAACAAGGCATCCATTCATTAAGGCTTTTTTTTTAAGTTAGCCAAATTTAATCAAGAATCACAAAGTAAATCAGACTAGCCTTGTAATCCATTATTGTTACGAGTAACAACATTAATTAAACACCTAGCTCAAACAGGACATTCGGTTATAAAAAGGATGACCTGTCCCTGCCCAAAGCGACTTACAGCCTAAATGAAGCAGTTACCACATCACTTACACAAAACACCCAAGGAAGACGACAGACCTAAAATCACCCAAACTGACATCTATGCCCCTACCTTTAGGTTAAGAGTATTTGTGAGGCTGATCTGGGTGGCAGAATAAAAAGAACAAGAGTCAAAAGGAACAGAGTGTGAATGCTAGTTCTATCATTTACGAGCTGTGCCACACTAGGTAAGTTACTTAACCTCTCTGATTCTCAGTTTTATCATTTGTAAAATAGGAATAATCTCACCTACCTCACAGAGTAGCAGCCATAAACACCGAATCAGAAAATCTTACATGAAAGCCCAGCACTAGTAATGACGACGAAAATAATAATAAATTCATTGACTATAAAACTCATTATGCCAGGCACTAAGCTAAAATGTTATATGGGTACTATCTCATCTAATCCTATCAGTTCTATGAGGCATCTCTTATTCCTATATAATTTTCCAGATGAAGAAATTGAACAGAATGAGTGAGGGATCGATCTGCTTGTCTAATATGACACAGCTAAAGGTAGGAAAGTGGGTCACAGGACCTCAGCGTTCTTGCTGTCAATCATGGCATAATAATGTCTCCCAAATGCCACCACAGTAAGGTGTAAAGGTGGGACCAGGGAGTTTGGGCGGGGAGGTGGGGAACAGGCCTTCCTACTATGGCTATTAAATCAATTATATTGTAAAGTCATTATTTGTATTATATCATAAAGTACAGCACCTCGTAGCTCCCCACCCCTGCTCAAACAGGAAGCCCCTCGAGACTCCCAAAGATGCAATCCTAAGGCATGGGTATATTCAGAGCCATAATGGTGGTTTCCTTCCTTGTTGGGGCAAGTCTTCAGCCATCTGCTACAGATCATTTAAGGCCTTCTCTATTATGAGTCTCAATCACCCAATACTTGTTCAGACAAGGCCAAAGTAAAATCAATTATTTTTTCCTATATAATCTCTTACTTTCTTTTTGTACATATATACAAAAAAAGATTGAAGAAAGCTAGCCACCAGGAAAGAGGTCCAACTGCCACCATGGTTTGAGAAGCCCAACCAAGCCAAGTGGAAAATGTATCTGGACAAGAACTGAGGTCCTGCAACAGTCCCGTCAGATCTCCCGTGTGTGAAGCCACCTTGGACCTTCTCATCTTCCCAGAGTTCAACTGCAAACACATGAAGCTTCTATATCACCCAGGCAACCCACAGAATTGTTAGCAATAATAAAATGCTGTTGGCTTTGGGGCGCCTCAGTGGCTCGGTTGGTTAAGGGGCTGATTCTTGATTTTGGCTCAGGTCATGATCTCAGGGTCATGAGATCGAGCCCTGCCTCGGGCTCTGTGCTCTGTGCTCTGTGCCAGTCTGCTTGAAATTCTCTCTCTCCCTCTCCCGTTGTCCCTCCTCCCACTCATGCGTGCTCTCTCTCTCTAAATAAATGAATAAAATCTTTTAAAAATAATAAATAATAATAATAAAATGCTGTTGGTTTAAGCCACTAAGTTTTGGGGTGATCTGTTAGATAACTAAAACAGCCAGCAATCAGCTTTTCCAGCCAGGCCAAATATCAAATCTATGAATAAAAGGGGCCTTAATAAAAGTTCACTGATGTTTACCAATAGAAATGTTACATTCCTTCCATTCAAGGATGGCTATTGGCTGAAACACTTATCTCTGTAAACCCAGGGTCTATACTGTACCTGTCTCAACAGTGTTAAATAAATATGAATAATGATCACATTGATAATAATAATGGCAGCTAATGTTTACTGAGTGTTTACATACACGGCTTCACACTAAACCTTTTATTCATTTAACCTTCACGAAAGCGTTTGAGGTGGAACACTATTATGCCCATTTTACAGATGAGGCCACTGAGGCTCAGAGTGGTACAGTGACTAGTCCAAGATCACAGAGCCAGTAAAGAGCCACACAGGACCTCTTTCACCTTCTGGCCACCTGACTCCCGAACCAGTGCTCCTACCCACTGGCTTTATTACCCCTTCAAGTGCCATCCTACTTTAATAATGTTGCTTCCTTCTAAAAGAGAGGTCTATAAAGAGTTTAAAACTGTGCCTGACCTGCAGTAAGTTTTCAATAAACATCAACTCTTAGGATGAGGAACCCGCAGACGGGGAAGGAAAGAGGATAGCAAGCCCTGATTAACGTTAGCTGTCTTGATGGTCGTACAGGCGTCCTTCACCAGTAAGCATCCCAGGGTTTGGTAATTTTCTGTGTACAGTCTGCTCTCCCCCTGGACTGTGAACCCCCTCGAGAGCTGTCCCTGTTTCTGATTCATCTTTGTAGGTCTAGGGCGCTGCATGCTGCACGTGGCCTGGCCCAGAACAAGTAGGTGCTCAAGAAACATTTGTTGAATGGAAAGGAAATGCTTCATTCACCACAAATGCGAACTTGCACTTACAGGATGACACTTCGCCCAGCCAGCAGTCCTTAAAGTGACCCCAAAGAAAAGGAGAGGGCAGGAAGGGACAAGTGAAGGAGAACCAGCCTAGGAATGCCCGCCCCTAGGGGCTCCTTGGGGTAAGAGATGGGGCTGGGCTTGTGGCCAGAACACGTGAGGAGTCCACACGGAGGGCCGGACCTCCCAAACTCCGAAAACTCCCCTCACTCTGAAAAGTCCCAGGGAAAAAGTGGAGACCCCAGGTGGAAGTCTCCCCAACCCCGAGGTGGCCTCGCCTCCTCCCGCCCTGAATCACCAGGACTCGGGACGAGCCCTCCCACCCCTTCCCGGCCGCCGCGGGAGCATGAGGAGGAAGAGAAAGAAAGTGACCGGAAGTCAGAAGTTTCCTAACAACGACCAAAATCCTCCCCCAGGAGGGGAGGGCTCCCCATCCTTGGCCCGCCCCGCCCAGTGAGGAGGGACCGCCACAAGTGCATCCAAGCAGTTGGGGGTCCCGCTCTTCTGTCCCAGCAAGGAGGGCCTGGCCTGTAGCTCCCCACTGGCGTTCCGTACGCCCAGAATTCTGTGAGAGGTTCCCAGGGAGGGGCGGGGGCGCCCCAACTGTTACTTACAATCGTCTAAGTCATCATGCAAGTCCACAAAGTACAGAGGGATCTCTGAAAATCAAGAAACACACAGGAGTTACACACAAGGAGTGGGCGCGGCAGGCGGACTCAGGGGCGGGCGGGGGTCCCCGGGCCTTGAGGAGTGGTCCCCGCTAGGGGGGGAGGGGGCCGCCTTTGCGCCCAGGGAGCCAACCCCACTCACCCGCCATCTTGGGATGGGCCAGGAGGCGGGGTCCTCGCGGGAGGGCGGGGCCGGTGGGGCGGGAGGCGGGG